CTAAACCCAAGGTCCGAACGCTGGGTCCTACTTGCGCGTCCCTAGTTGGACTTCTAGGGTCTTATTGTGTATGTATTAGGCATATGACTGTATCCATATACCTAACTTAAATACCTGTATCTGTATATCTATAATTACGTGTTCCTACAGCGGGAAGCCCGGCCAGCCGAGGCAGGCGCGCGCTAGCGTTTACAATTACAAACTTTATGGGCTCTAGTCCCCCTTAAGTAGATAGAATATGGCTTTTGGTATGTTATACTAAGATCCCCATACACCTCATGTTCGATCTACCAAAGGGGGACTATACGATGACAATTGTTTATCACTTCTAGGGGTATTCTTCTAAAGCTCTGGTGAAGACCAGGCTTAGGATGAAGGGTTCATGGTTTAAGGTTTAGAGTTTAAGGTTTAGGATTTGGGGTTTAAGGCTTAGGATTTAGGGTTAAGGGGTTAGGGTTTAGGGATGGTTTGTGCTTTCGCAGGGTATGCAAACGGACCCTCCTAAACCCTAAACCCAGCTGATAAGCTGCGCATTCTACATCGTGCGGGACCCTGACACAAAATCGTGGATGCTGCGTCTTAGAAGGCCAAACTGTTCGACCCTTCTTGCAACGGCTTTTTCTTCGCGCGCCAGGATCACAAAGGTAGCCTGTGAGGCGTCGCAGCTGTCTCCCACTCCTGGAATTTAGGGTGCAAAAGTTGGATACTGCCCCACCACCCAGTAACAGTTGGATAAGACTTGTAATATAAACATATACAACGCTTAATAATGGGCTGTTACTCGGTGGGGGAGGGGGCAATACCCAAGGTATGACGGGGAAAGTTGAGGATTCCTGGATTATTCTGGGGTTGGTTGTTGATTTAGGGTTTAGGGGTTCTTTGGGCAAGAAAGGCCTCGCAAAAGCAATGGCCTGGCCCCCCATCAACAGCTCGACACCAGAAGTGGTCCCCTCTGCAGACGTGTGTTCGCTCCAAACCGGGCTATATGGCGTTCCATCCTATTTTATAGAACAGGCTGTTGTGCAGATGGAGCCTGAGGGTAAACACTCTAACTACTGAGCTGACTTATCTGTCCACCAGACGACTGGTAAAGGACGAATAGGACACTGCCGCAAAACCGTGGCCTCTGAAGCTAAACCAGACAAGCTGCCTTCTGGATGCATGGATCTCTACAGGAGGATGACGCTGACATCCTTGGCCTCAACCTCTTCTTACCAGATGCAGGTGGTCCAATCCGAAGGCGCCTAGAACTTTTCAAACATAAAAGGATGGTGAACATGAGAGTGCTTGTTGGTAATGCTTCATTGTAATAGAGCAGACATCCTCCCCGCTTCAACGAGAAACAACGTCAAAGAGCCCAGTGATTTCAACCCATGCTCCTCAGCAAGCAGGCCCACCTGAGCCGGATTGCGGCGGTTCCGCAAGAACAGGTCCTCTACAACTTCCTACAGAATTTGTCTTTTGTAAGGATGCATTAATTTATTGCCGTTGCGTCTTACTTAACCATCCTACGCCCCTTGTCACTTCCCGAGCCACAGGCGGGCCGAAGAGCGTCCGGAACTGTGCCAGCCAGCAGCGCAGGATCGCCTCCACACGCTCTGGGCCCCAGAGACGCCGAGCCTCTGGCTTTTCAGGGGTCATTCTTTAACTGCTGTGTATGCATAGTTACTCCAGATTCCAACCAAAAGCAAGCACTGCCCATATCCCGCAATCCAGCCCTCGAACTCCAACGCCTGAACCTTAAGATCCGAAACCTGGTCTGAAAAGACATGAACCACCACAGCTCTTCTTGCTAGTGCTACCAGTATGCAGTCTTCTTCCTATTATGATAACACCTTTCTATGGGCCCTAGGGGCTGAACCCCAACATTGTGATAACCCGAAACTGCAAACCCAAGGCACCAAACTCTTTCCCTGACCTCTCAAGTCTAAGCCCTAAACTTAATCAAAACCCTGAATTCTAAACTCTACACTCCGAAGTACATCTGTTTGATCCCCCACCTAAACCCTAAACCTTAAACCCTACTTCTTTTTTTGAGCCCCGACCTCCTCCAGAGTTTCGGGTGGCGTCTCACTCCGCCAGAGTCGGACTGCCCGGCGAAGGGCCGCCAAGGACACCTGAACTCGGTTTGTTTGTTGGCACCCCTTCACACCTTGAACTAGGGTTTAAGGGTTTTGGGGTTTAGGGGTTTAGGGTTTAGAGGTTTAGGGTTGAGGGTTTAGGGTTATCCCCCTTCATAACTCCTATAGTTTAGTTGTCCCCTATATAATTCCCTATATAACCCCCCTTTAAGGAATTTAGACTGCAGCTCAAAACCTGTGACTCCAATGACCGACAGTTTAGTAGTAACTACTCCCTGATCAATAGGAAGAGCCCATGGAACTGCAGGAAATTGGAGCCACTGGTAGGATATGGGGTAGAGGGCTAGGATTTTGGATAGAATCTAGTTAGATTTTCAGGCAGCGGCGCAAGTGTGAAAACAAAAAGAGATGGAGGGCTTTCATCAAAGCCTTGACAGGCCTGCGCAATTCTTGGACAAAATGACCGAGTAACCAATGCTCCCGCAACATTACATTGTTCTGGCTATGCGCTGTACTTTATTTTCTGCAGCGGTCCAGTCTCTTCGCCAAGTTTCACTTCCTCTCGGGCCAACCTTTATGGCTTTCACAAACCCTAACCCTAAAACCCTAATTTCACAGCCATGCATTACGGAGCCCGAGTTAGCTTTGAGTGTTTAGGGTTTAGGACTTAGAGGGTTAGGGTTTAGAGTCTAAGGTCCCTTCAAAGCACCATCAGAGCTTAGAATGCGAAGTTAGCTCCTAATATGCCCTCCGACCATCCATCCTACACCCTAAATTGACACCCATTTCAGGTCAACTGATTCAAAACAGCTACAAGCCCAAAACCGTGGGATGATTTGGGGAATTTTGGGGAATAGATAGGGTTTAGGGTTACTGGTCTAGGTTGGCCCCTAAAACCGACTGAAAAATATTAGTATGTATGGTCCCCTATTAACGCCATTAGGGAAAATATGAACTATCCCGGGGGCCTACCCAGTGGTACTGTATTGAGGAGGGGATTGCTGGAACCCCTCAAGTGCGGAAAAGCTGCCTCCTGGTGCGATAGAGCAGGGAGCACGGCCTGCACTTGCTTTTGAAAGGTATGGGTACGGAGGATGGGCTCCGCGCGCTATTCTGAACAAAGGCTTTTTAATGGACTTAGACCCATATGCAGCCACTTTATAGCCCCGGTTTCCATTTCATTTTCCAAGTTCTTTTCCATTTGATTCTACAGTATTGGTATTAGTTGCAATGAACAGCTCAACCCCAAAGCCGGAGGCATGAGCATCGACCGGGTCCAGTTTTGTATCTCCACAACAAAGCCTCCGGCATCATAAGCGGCTGGGTCCAGTTTGAGAACTCCGCCACAAGAGGTTCCAGCATCATGAGCATCAGCTGGGTGCAGTCTGAAACCTCCGCCGCAAGAAGCTCCAGCATCCAGCATCAGAAGTATCAGCCGGGTTCGACAAAGCCACCAGCATCGCGAACGTCAGCTGCGTCCAGGTTTACATCTCAGCGACAAAGGGGGGCTCTGAAACAAGGTGCCAGCATGGTGCTATGGTCTCCTTGGCTTCTTCTTCTCTACAAGTGAGCTTCTTCATTGAAGGTTTGAGGCTGTAGTACATCTGCTGTAGAACCATCTGCCTTCATTGGACTAGTAGGCTTTGATCAGCCGTCGGATGCCCTCGGGAACCGCGGAGACATGGGAATCTGACGGAGGCTATAGGCTATAGGAGCTCGCCTTAAAGATTCGCACGGAAGAAGATAACTACCTTGCACTCTCGGGCACGCTTCCTCAAAATGCCCACCTGAATCACCCAAATACCCGTAAAAGGGGCGGCCTCGTTGAGTGTATAGGCCATCCTCCCGTGTATATCGGAGCTTAAACCCTTCCCAAAGGATCAATAGATCTATATTATATGGTATCTGCTTGGGCTTCAGGGTACCTAAATGGGAAACCTTGTATGCCCCAAGCATGTACATTGGCAACTATCAAATCAAAACTACCCTGTAGCATCCCTAATGTGGACCCCAGACTTCCCTTGTAGTCCCCATCTGTGGCTTGGGGTCCCTACTTGGAGGGTCGGGGACTTTGTAAGTAAACTGACAAACCCTATGAGCCATATACTGATCCCTATTATTGCCCTGGTCACTAATTAAGTCCCCCTGACGCTCCAAATAGCGACCCCTATTTCGAAAGATTCCCACGTCCTGGCCTGTGGGGCTTGCCCACATGCGAACACGAGGCCACACAGCGAAGTCAACGCCTGCAACAAGGCAAGCTCTGAGCCCCCGTCGGTTTTTTCGTCTGGGGTTTAGGGTTTGAGGGCTAAAAGGTTCGAACAAGATTTCGGGGAAGAACAACACTACAATCATACTCTTATATAACTTCCCTCAGTATTTCGTGAAAGAATATTGGTATTTTGTATCGATATACAAGCTTGTACAACAAATGAGCTGGACCAAGCTATTTTTCTATTTTGGGAACCCCTTGCAAACGGATGGCTTTTTGGGGATGATTTTCCCGTAGAATGATGTCCTCTAGCAAACAAATTCAAGACATGATCCTGCAGCAGACCTGGGAAACACTGAAGTAAACCTCTTAATCCCCTCCCCCTAGTATTAAATCCCTCCACCGCGCCTGATATTAGGTATGCCCAATATACTATGATATACGACAATGGGGAGTATCTGGTATTAGGGGGTGGGGAGGTTTGATATTAGGGGGAGGGGATGAAAGCCTGCCTACCTTGCTGTCGTCACCCCATGAGGAGAAGGAGATGGCACGGGCTCCTGTGGCCAAAAAATCAAGATGCTTCCTTCAAAGTCTTTCTTGAACAAAAACGGGGGTGGGTGCACCCTAAATTGCCGTTTAGTTCAACCATCAACCCGAACCCAGCATCCTTTCACTGCAGTCCCGTGGCTGTCAGGTTAAACGTCTCCTCCGAACGGTGCTACATACTTGCAACGGAAGCCGATCGTTGTGAGGGTTTAGTTGGGCTGGATGGTGAACTCCATAGTTGGGCGTGTGCGCACGGTGCTCCGCATGTATGCTGCGAAGTGATGCATGTCACGGTGCCTTCTGGACATCTGTTGCACCCGGTCGCCTCTGCGGTCTGGCGCATTCTCGCAGAGTTTGATGTCTTCAACTGAAGACCGCTGATGAAATTTGTGAGGCCATGTTGTGCAAAACTCTCTGTAGACCGTCTGTTGCCATATAGCTAGCAAGAAGTCCTGAAGATCAAAGATGCCAATCAATCTGGAGCTTTCTAGCTGTCAGCCTATTTTCTTGCATCTTTCCCTGATCATGGGCAGTCCTGCGCAATAACTGTTCAGCCCCTACAAAATGTAGTATTCCATGTTGTTTTCCAACTTGATTTTCAATTATTAGAAAAATGTCCTCAGAAAGCACTGCAGACCCTAAAACCAACCTCTGAAATCCCAAGCCGAAGTGTTGTAGGTTAGTGCCACGCTAGGTCTCCTTCAGGGAGCTCCGCAAGAAGCACCTTCAGTTCCAGATAGCTTAATGCTGTGACAAAAAGTAGCTGCAACAGTGCTACAGGGCTTTTCTAAACTGGGTGCTGTTAAGGAACTTAATTTAAGTTACTATATTGGGTAACCCATATTAATCACCGTACATACCCATTCTGGTAACTTAGTTTACCTTCCTGAACAGGAATCCAGTAATGGGAGACTTCGAGGTTCTGGGTGTCAGGCTAGGGCTTATGGATTATGGTTGAGGCTTTGCTCACAAGCTCAGCATAGCTCTACGCACATAGCAAAACAAAGGAGTTCGGCTACCCTAAACCCCAAATCCCGGCACACCTTACCCTGCAATCTGAAGAGCCTTATGAGGCCTCAACTGCAAACTCTCACTAGCTACCCAAGACAGAATGCGGTTCTGAGGCCCCGCCCGACACATGACCGCGGTAGCTGTTAAAGAATATACGATAGCTTCAACACCCAACTCTCTACCATTCCAGCGCTGGGGCTCCAAGCCAACAACCAGCCACCTATGGGGCAATATAGGTTATATAGTTACATAAGGATAATAGAAAAGAAAATGAAAACTACTATCATGGGTGATATGGTTTTATGTAGGGTTTTTAATAACAAGAAGGTGCTCTGGACACGACCACGTTCAACACATGGAACTTTCTGAGCTCTTGCAGGCAACGCTAACTTCATGCCCGCCCAAACCCACCCCGGTCAAGGGAGACAGCAGTCTTGAGAAGTGGTGTAAGCAGAGGGGGCGGCATGGCATCTGTCAAGAAAAGAAAATGGAAACTACCATAATGGGCTATGTCGTCTTAGAAAAGGGGTCTCTATACAACTTTGTTGGATAGCCCAACACACCAACCCTGATGCCGCTTACGCCACACAAGGCCCGAACCACTCAACTCAGTAACCTCATTTGCCGGAATCTCGATATGAGTACCCCTTGAGACCCTAGTCATATGCAGACTATAGTAGTTTCCATTTTCTTTTCCATTATCCCAATATATCCCCAATATACTAATTGTAAGAGGTATTTGACGGCCTCCATTGGGACCATGGACATGCCTTGGTTGCAGCATTCAAGGAGAATTCATCCCTGCAATCCCTGTTCCAGCTATATGAGTGTTCACAAATATGTCGCAAAGCACCAAGTCCTCGACTCTAAGCCCTAACCCTAGCCCTTACAACATGTCCGGGAACAAAAGTCCAAGTCCTTCCCACACATTACAAAAAAACCTTGGCCCTCCATGTACCGCTGGAAATCCTCACACTCATAAGCCCCTCACCCCAAACCGGGGTAGGTTTGGAGGCCCTATAAAAATCCAAAGTTTATGGCTTTATTGGGTTGAGGTAATAGGAATGAAAAAATTCTTTCGTAAACTACCGCTGAACACCCCAACCCTCAAACCTGGCACTGTTCGTCCTTAGTAGGGAATAAGAGGATATAAGCCCTATATGAAATTTTCCCTTACTCCCTACTAAGAACCAGAACAAAGAGGATTACGCGGCCTTAGTGAGTATACTAATAAGCCCTATAAGCCATATAGCAACCCTACCATTTCTAATTTCTAACCAAGTTACTAAGTCCCCCTGACCTTAAACCTCAAACTCTAGGCCCTAAACCCTCAACCCTGTTGTAGTTTTCATTTTCTTTTCCATTGTTACTAAGTCCCCCTGACCCTAAACCCTCAACCCTAAACCCTGTAGTAGTTTCCATTTCCTTTCCATTATTACTATAAGTCCCCCTCACCCTCCATGTAAGAATCCCCAGCAGCGCCTCGCGCGTCACGGCGGGACTCGGAGGAAGCTCGCGCCGGCGCGCTGCGAAGGACTGGGCCCAGGCAGCAGGGAGCCTTGGGTCTGCACAGGCCTCCCCGCTACCCATAACTACCCATAGCATTACTATCGGTATTATTAATAGAATAGAAACTGTGTTTAGGGTTTAGGGTTTAGGGATAATGTTTGGGTCCAAAATAGTGTTGACCGAAAGTTTGACCGTGGAATTTGAGATTTATAGGACTTAGGATTCAGCACGTTTCAAAGGTACTTGTGGCAACAATAAGATGGAAGTTGCCCTAAGTAGAGGGACCCCCATCTAGACTCCGAGATAGTATAATCCTTATCATTAGGGCCTCCGTCCATAAGGTACCCCTAATTTTGGGAACCCCCAAAATCAAAGCCGCCGAAGTTACCCAGCGTCAACAGCTGCATACTCCAGCATCTCAAGGTAACCTCACGGAGAAGACTGCTTCAGACAGGAGGATTTAGGGGCTTCCCAAAACTAGGGGTGCCTTTTTGGGGGTCCCTCTACTACGGGCTATGGGGCTATATTGGGGTCCCCAAAATTTTGGGAAATTCCCCCGGCAATCTAGGAAGAAACAATGCTCCCTGGTTTAATACAGACCAGCTCTAAGGAACCTAGATGCCCCAAACAGGGTGACCTTCCCCAAGCCCCCATCGATATACCCCTGGCAAGGCAAGAGGAAACCAGTCCAGCTCACGGCAAGCAGCGGGCGCTGGGTCTCGCTTCTGCACCCTGACCATACGTACTGGGGGTTAGCAGGGTGTATATACATATATAAAGATATACATGAATAGAAAGGCTTTAGGGTTCAGGGTTAGGGTTAGCAGCGAATAACCAGAAAGCGTGGGGTGTCTAAGCAGGGCGTGGGTTCAATCATCGAGAGTAAGCTTTCTGACGTCAGGGCACGCCCTACAAATCCAGCGAATTGCAAGTAGTTCTACTGTAACACTGTAACCCGCTTAAAAAACGGGGCAAGCGAAGGCTTGAAATCCTGCATGGCCTTAAGTATAGTACATAAGCACAATTCTCAAAATCTAAACATGACCTACAATCAAAACTCCTTTAAAGGGGGTTATATAGGGGATTAAATTGGGGACAACGGCTCATATAGAGGATTTTGACCCACAGGTTCTCCCTTAAACCTAAACTGCCTTCGGCAGCCGCATTGAAGGCCCACAGGTGTAGAAGGTGCAGGCCTCTCCTCGCGAAAAATGATGAGTGGGTTAGGGTTTAAGGTTTAGGGTTTAGGGATCCACGTCTACACATAATACCAGACATCGAGAATCGAATCGGAAAGAAAATGGGCAATGAAATGGAAACTGGTGTTATATAAGGGCTATCTATGGTAGAACTGATGGCCTTAAAGCGCGGCATGGCCCCACGCAGCCTAAACACGCAACTATGGGAATACGGAAGTTTGCGAGGAGTTCTGGTATCAACCACATAATGGCCGCCCTGAAGTTGAGATTTCGTGTAGGGTTTACTGGGTTGCTGTTAAGGAACTTGATTTAAGTTACTATATTGGGAAAACCCTATTATTTACTATATATACCCAGTATGGTAACTTAACTTAAGTTCCTTAACAGCAACCCAGTTTAGGGTGTCTTGCGGCTCCTCTATTCTCAAGCCGGCCTCAGAGCTTCACTGAAAATCCATATTTTCTGGG